CCAGAGCTCAACCCCCGCAAACACAACTAGGTGAGTACACACACACACACACACACACACACACACACACACACACACACACACACACACACACACACACACACACACACACGCACACGCACAGCGTTTCGACCAATTCTACGAATGGAATTCACTCTGCGTCATGCCTGAAAGGCAGGTAGGAGCAGTGGCTCCCCGCGCATTCTCTCGACAAAATCACGTAGCCAGCCGGCCAACCAACCAATCACAACTCCGCTTCACCTGAACATGTGGAGGCTTGCCAGACCCGACGACTCTGGCTACCCCTTACGCAACCTCACGAGAGACATCCGCACCAAGGTCAACTGATGTTGGTACATTCATTACTGAAAATACTTCGTGGAGCGGGGGGGAACGAACCTTTGGGCCAGATTCACGAAGCAGTTACGCAAGCACTTACGAACCTGTACATCTTTTCTCAATCTTTGGCGGCTTTGTTTACAATTATTAAACAGTTAATGAGCTCCGAAGCACCAGGAGGCTGTTTTTAACAATAACAACAGTTGAATGGCAAGTTTTCATGCTTGTAAACTGTTTAATAAATGTAACCAAAGCCGTCAAAGATTGAAGAAAGATGTACACGTTCGTAAGTGCTTTCGTGAATCTGGCCCCTTGTTGCTGAAGACGGTAAGGAACTTTATACTGTTCCCATTTATTATGTGCCCTATGTACCGCATAATTGTTTGGGTAGGGACGCGAGTCTTATTTTCCTGGGCGTCACCCCTTTTATATGAAAGGAACCATCGGAAATGCATCCGTGTGGCTTGTCCCCGTGTTGATATCACGCCAGACCACTACTATAGACAGTAGGGGGTTACAGAGGCGCTCAGGAGCCTGGGCCGCCCCCTATTGTATGAAGGAAAGCTGCTGCTTTTATCAAGATACTGGCGGCATTAAATGGTTGATCATCAGAGCAACAATTCGTCTTTGCTCATTGCATCACTTTCGTTCAACGTAAAAGATTGTGGCACCTTCCATCTTAGAATTGTCATTAATCTGATTGATAAAATGCCACAACCTTTCCTGCTCAACTGAAAGTGATGCAATGCGCTCAGAAAATATTGTGCGATGAAGTTTAATAATTTAACGTGTGAAGTTTTAATTTAGTTTAATAATTTAACAGGGTATATATAAAATACTATGAATATATAAATATATATAAAATACCTATATATATATACGGTATATAAAGGCTTTCTTGAGGTTATCTTAAGATGATTTCGGGGCTTAGCGTCCCCGCGGCCCGGTCCTCGACCAGGCCTCCATTTTCTTACACACCCCCAGGAAGCAGCCCGTAGCAGCTGTCTAAATCCCAGGTCCCTATTTACTGCTAGGTAACAGGGGCATCAGGGTGAAAGAAACATTTTGCCCATTTGTCTCTGCCTCCACCGGGGATCGAACCTGGACCCTCCGGACTATGAACCCGAAGCGCTGTCCACTCAGCTGTTAGGCGCCCTTAAATAGGTAAATATAAAACTTGTTTATATAGAAAATTGAAACTACTGAAAATTACACTGGCACTTAATCTAATTACTCCACCCTAATACAAGGCGGTTTGATGGTTAGAAAATATTCAGACTCTAAAGTAGGCTCGAGTTAATAGTATCATGTTTTTGTTTAGCTGTGAGCGTACACTCCGGTAATGTTGTGCCAACACGTGTGACTGTGGAGAGGCGTCACATGTTTGACACAGAGCAAGCTGTCCTCGTGACACCTACACACACACACACACACAAGCACGCGCGCACACACACGTACCTGGGAGTTGATATCACGCCAGACCTGTCCCCTGAACTCCACATCAAGACGATATCATCCGCGTCATATGCCATAACACCAGGTTAAGAACTGCCTTTAGAGACTTGTGTAAGAAATCATTTAGGACCTTATTTACCACATGTCAGGCCGATACGGGCTCCAGTATGGAACCCGTATCTAGTCAAGGACAAGACTAAATTGGAGAAGGTACAAAGGTATGCCACCAGATTGGTACCCGAATTGAGGGGGTATGAGCTACGAGGAGAGATATGAGCTGAACCTCACATCGCTGGAAGAAAGAAAAGAGAGGGAGACATGACCATCACATACATGATTTCTCAAGAGAAATTAATAGGGGTAGATAAAGAAAACTTATTTAACACTGGTGGTATTATAAGGATACACAGGTGGAACTAAGTACTCAAATGAGACATAGACATTAGAACGAACTTTTTCAAGTGTCAGTAGTTAACAAATGGAATGCATTAGGCAGTGATGAGGTGGAAGTAAGCTCCATACACAGTTCCAAATGTAGATACGATAGAGATAGGCTCAGGAATCCGTACACCAGTTGACTGACGATTGAGAGGCAGGACCAAAGAGCCTAACCTCAACCCCCGCAAGCACAACTGAGAACACACAAACACACAGGTAGGTAGGGAGATGTATGTGTGTGTGTGTGTGTGTGTGTGTGTGTGTGTGTGTGTGTGTGTGTGTGTGTGTGTGTGTGTGTGTGTGTGTGTGTGCGTGCGTGCGTGCGTGTATACACAACCCCAAAACCAGGGTGGTGCCGCGTCGTGCCAAGAAACTCCCACCTGCCTTAGCCCATACTTGCCTACCTACATGCTGCCACCACCACCACCACCATCATGAGCAAGCAGCACCGTGCTCCTCCCGACTACATCACCTGCCCTCTCTGTGACCTCACCGGCGAGTACAACTAGGTTACAATAGTGTAACTATGCTATTTTAGCAGTAACAAGTTACTAGGCTAGGTTATTACAATTAGGGGACTACAATCAGGCTGGTTTAGTAATAACAGGGCACTAGGCTAGATAATTACAACTGAAGGACCTCAACTAGGCTAGTTTAGTAATAACAGGCCACTAGGCTAGATAATTACACCTAAAGGACCTCAACTAGGCTAGTTTAGTAATAACAGGCCACTAGGCTAGATAATTACACCTAAAGGACCTCAACTAGGCTAGTTTAGTAATAACAGGCCACTAGGCTAGATAATTACAACTGAAGGACCTCAACTAGGCTAGTTTAGTAATAACAGGCCACTAGGCTAGATAATTACATCTAAAGGACCTCAACTAGGCTAGTTTAGAAATAACAGGCCACTAGGCTAGATAATTACACCTAAAGGACCTCAACTAGGCTAGTTTAGTAATAACAGGCCACTAGGCTAGATAATTACACCTAAAGGACCTCAACTAGGCTAGTTTAGTAATAAAACTAAAAACAGGCCACTAGGCTAGATAATTACAACTAAAGGACTAAAACTAAGCTATTTTAGTAGTAAAATACTACTATGTCACGCTAGTACAATTAGGAGTGTAAAACTAGGCGAGTACAACTAGTCTAGCAGCGAACGGCTAGAAAGAAATACAAAACAGCTAGCAGCTATCAATATATTACCTTGAGAACGCTTGATGAAACTGTACTATAGATTTTATGCAATAATCTGAAGAACATATGCATTCTGAATTGAAATATTATTGTAATTTGTTCTATTCAATACTCAACAAACCAGTCCTCCAAGACGCAAGAAAACTGACCATCCACAACACAAAAAATACAACCCTACACACCTAAACCAACCCTACACAACTAACCAACCCTACACAACCACCAAACCAACCCTCCACAACCACCAAACCAACCCTACACAACCACCAAACCAACCCTACACAACAACCAAACCAACCCTACACACCAACCAAACCACCCAGCACCAACCAACTCTCCAGGATCGATTTCCAGTCATTCACCATATTAATTAACATTAGCATATCCCAATAGTATAAAATGCATAGATAATGCCAAGTCTAACTTCAATTCTCTTGCTACCAACTATTTACGAAAACCAGCGACTATTAGGATCTAAATTGGGTTCAAGAGCGACAAACGGGGCCAAAATAGGGTTCAACGACACCTAACGGGGCCAAAATAGGGTTCAACGACACCTAACGGGGCCAAAATAGGGTTCAACGACACCTAACGGGGCCAAAATAGGGTTCAACGACACCTAACGGGGCAAAAATAGAAGTCAACCACAGCTTACTGAACCCAAATAAAACTCACCAGGCACTAACAGGAGCCATATTTTTAGTTTAATAACCATTGACACAACAATGGGTTCAAAAGCAACAAAGTATACTTCAAGTATACCAGTATACCAATATATACATACCATACTATATTCTAGTATACCAATATCGGGAAACTGGAAATCTGTTACATTTGCGAAAGCTTTTCTTATCCATCCCTCCCTCCCTCTTCTCTCCTTTCCCATGTTACGCAGTCACCCATCCATTCAGTGGACAGACCCCAGGGAGGACTTAACCAGTGATCAACCGGGATGTCAGGAATCATTTGTGATAAATGATGTAGGTTGTGTGGTTAAATATAGTCATTTACTAACTCGTATTCAATTTTTAGCTGTCTGCTGTATTTCTAACTTAAAAAAAAATTAAGTATTGTAGGCTACTTAGACACCAAATCTACGAAAATAATTAATCTTATATAAGAATATCGTTAATATGAAGACCAAGTGTATTTTACACTCCAAAATACACTTGGAGACCAGAGTCTTCAAGTGTATTTCAAGTCACTCCTTAAGAAGCTGCTTAAATTTTTAGCTGTCTTGTATTTCTAACTAAATAAAAAATGAAGTATTGTAAGCTATTTAGACACCAAATCTACGACAATAATTAATCTTATATAAGAATATCGTTAATATGAAGACCAAGTGTATTTTACACTCCAAAATACACTTGGAGACCAGAGTCTTCAAGTGTATATCAAGTCACTCCTTAAAAGAAGCTGCTTAAATTACTTTTACACCAATACGGCCTCCTGAAGAACTAACGGGATACGAACCATCATCAAAGTCGACTGCTCCAAGTGTCACTTTTCACCATAAATCATTTCCCTCACCAAAAAAACGTACAATAAACATCAAAAAACACACTCACCAAAATCCGCAAATTGCTGCATGGATAACGGAGACGGGTTAAATTGCGAGTAATAATCTAGTCTCTCTTCCATCAGCGCTCGGGTTTGGCGATATAATATTCTGTAGACTCTCATGGTAGACACGCGCGACGGTGCCTGTGGTGCTTGTACGGGAAGAGAAGTGACATTGAACGCCAACGAGACATTGGACCTGCAGAGTCTCTCTCTCTCCCCTCCTCCACCACCACGGGTGCCACCGGGCTACTGCGCACCCGCTCTGCGCACCCTCCCACCTCTCGTTCCAATAATATTGAGCCCCTCTTCCACAAGATGGGTATGGGGTGAATAATAAGTGAACTAAACTATAACTCTCTCTCTTCGTGTATTTGACTTACGAATATTATTGATATTTGGATTATATAATTATTATATAATAATACTCTGCAATTAATCTAATACAAACATGAGCCTTATATTTATATAGTTATTTTTTAAGGAATTATATATGTAGGGGGAACATATAATTACAAGTAAATAAATATATATATATATGCAGTGTCAGAAAGCCATTAATGGATCTGATAATGTTCTCCCCAAAGGTCACCCATCCAGTTGCTGGTTAGATTTCTAATGCTTAACCTGAGTGTGCCAATGCAACGTGCACTTCCCTCTACTGCACCCATATATATAGGAAGAAAAATTATAAAATGTTTTTCAAATGTAAATATTCAGATGTAAACATTCATCAGTTTTCCGCTTGTGTTGCACATGTTTAATGCACACCTATTTATTTCGGCCAGTTGTTTTGGTGCCTTTTAGAAGTTTTTCGCCGCGGCACCAGGCCAAGTAGTGGAAAATCCCTGTCAGTATTGCGGCCAGAAATTAATGTTTTTTTTTTTAACATGAGTAATGACACTGTGCCCTAGATCTGCACGACTTTTGCGGTATCGTTCACATCACGAGTTTAGCGTGCATAAACAAACCCCCGCTGTCTGTAAAACTTGTATTCTAAGAAATTACTTCATTAATTTCCCATGGCGTAGTGGTAAAGCACTCGCCCGAGCGCTTTGGCCTGGGTTCGTATCCAGGGGGGGCCAGATTCACGAAGCAGTTACGCAAGTACTTACGAATGTGTACATCTTTCCTCAGTTTGTTATGGCTTTGGTTAAATCTATTAAACATTTTACATGCATGAAAACTTGCCAATCAACTGTTGTTATTGTTATAAACAGCCTCCTGGTGCTTCGGAGCTCATTAACTGTTTAATAATTGTAAACAAAGCCGCCAAAGATTAACAAAAGTTGTGGAGGATTGATTGGGTGCCAATCCTTAACTGTAGCCTCTGTTCACGCAGCAGTGAATTGGTACTTAGTGGTTAAACGATTTGGCAGGTCGTATTGCAGGGAAAAGCATTAGGATTAAGGACATGCCCGAAACGCTATGCGTGCTAGTTGCTGTACAAGAATGTAAGAACTCGTGTGTGTGTGTGTGTGTACTCACCTAGTTGTACTCACCTAGTTGTGTTTGCGGGGGTTGAGCTCTGGCTCTTTGGTCCCGCCTCTCAACCGTCAATCAACAGGTGTACAGATTCCTGAGCCTATCGGGCTCTGTCATATCTACACTTGAAACTGTGTATGGAGTCAGCCTCCACCACATCACTTCCTAAACACTTGTGTGTTCCACTTGTGTGTGTGTGTGTGTGTGTGTGTGTGTGTGTGTGTGTGTGTGTGTGTGTGTGTGTATATATATATATATATATATATATATATATATATATATATATATATATATATATATATATATATATATATATATATATTACATATTATATATATATATATAAAATCGTGAAATTATATACTTATGTAACAGAACCTTAATTATATCCAAATCTTAATTTTCTAATAGTTCGGCATTTTCCCACATTAGCCGATCGCATATCCTGCACAGTCTAGGTAGCTTTTTAATATACTTTAGGCTAGTTCATTATGCACCCCATACCCATCCCGTGGGCGGTACTGGAAAAGGTTTAAGTAAATCATTTCAGAGAAGGCGCCAAGCAGGTTACAAAAACATAACTCTGATATTGAAAAATTTATTTAGCTAAGTTACAGTCTTGATAAGCTAGTTACATAGCTTAATGTATTTAATCTACAATTTTCAACATATCATAGGCCCAAAACATAGATCACGACGGTCTCTAAGCTTAACAGGATTACATTTGTGGAGAGTTTGTTATTTATACACACTTCACATAACCTAGAGATTATCATACCCTTTTTTTATTATTAATACATTTAGGTACATTTATTATTATTAACATCTTTATTGACAAAATTAATTACAATTTTGCCTAATCTGAGAATTTTGATAGTCTTATTAAATTGAGGTTAATGCTAGTATTCACTGTCACGCAGGACAGAGGGTCATACATAAGACAATAGGTCTAAACTGTAGGCTGAAGCACATATATATCATGGTTACAATCAATGTTTTAATGTGTGAATATGTGACAACAACTTTCTATTGTGCACTGCCACACAAGGGCAGGGATGGGTTCATAAGTGATGCAGCTTAGAGTATAAAATAGAAATTGTTCTTCATTCTTTAAAATGGACAAGCAAATTTTGGGTAAATTGTTAGGATGTCGTCCAGAACACCTGAGTCAATAAAATAGTTACACAGTTGGTGGTACAATAGGCCAGGAGGTCTAAAGTCCTTTACGGTTTCACATTCATCAATATAGTGTTCTAGTGAGTGCATTAAAGGTTTATCACAGAGTTTACAATCTGAATATTCTGGTAGTGGCTCAGCCTCACTAACCTGCCAGATGTGTCTATAGCCAAGGCGAATTCGCGCAATTACTACATCACATTGCCTGGTCCGGTTACTGTGCTGACCATACAAATACCTATTATTACAGAACTTGTCATAACTTTTAATACTGCAGCTTTCAGGTCTCTGTGCATTTCTTAGTTCTTCTAAATCTGAATTAATTTCTTTAATTTGTATGTTTCTAATAACTGCATTAGATAGTCCAAAGTCATAATCAATGTTTTCTTTCCTGCAAGCCTCATTGGCCAATTGATCTACAAAGTCATGTTTTTCAACTCCAACATGGGATGGGATCCACACAAATTTTATACAAGAATTATTATCATTGGCAAAAATTACATTCCATTTAATATTACAAGCTACTTCCGACATACATTGTGATGGGTTATTTAAGGACTGCAGAGCACTTTTAGAGTCACAGAAAATAACTCCACCACCATTGAGCTTAAGGTATTCAGTGGCTAGATAAATACCCAATAGCTCGGTCTGTGTCGTGCTTGCCCAGTTGTTCAATCTCTGTGTACTAGTCATGATCATTTCATTCCCTTTATACACTGCACATGCACAACCTGTTCTACCAGTGCCTAACTGCACAGAGCCATCAGTAAAGGCATAGGATTCAGTCGGTTTGAGAATTTGAAGATGACTGTCAATAGCTTCTAATGTTATACATCTCAAAATGTCAGTGTTATACATTTGTTTTACACTGATGGGAGTATAATGCAGAGAGACCTCCACATCTTTCCAAGGGGGAATATAGAGAACAGTTTTATCAGGGTTAAGAGATACATTCAGTTTCTGAAGATTATAGGCACAACAACTGAGCCACACACTGTAGGGAGCTTTTTGCGGCGGATTGAGGGAACAGTCAGAATTGTTTAGAATGGATCTCAATTTAATTTGAATAGAGCTGGGGGGACCATTATTTTTCAAAGTTTTGGCGCAAAACATAGTACTAAGTAGAACTATTCTTTCGTAAATGGAAGGTAAGTTTAGTTCCTTTCTCATGTTAACAATTCTGACAGTTCTAGGACAACCCAGGATGATGCGCATGGCATCATTCTGTACTACATCTAGGCCTTGTAATTGTTTAGGAGAAAAATTAAGAAGATGCAAGGCATAATAATCAACAACAGATCGTATAAAGGCAATATAAAAACTACGAGCATATTTTATGTTAATGCCAAATCCTTTGCCAACAAGAGTTCTGAGAGGTTTAAGACGCTCAACAAGTTTTTTACGCAGGTTGCTGATGAGATTTGTATCATTAACCTCGACTCCAAGATATTTATAAGACTCACAAGTCTCCACGGGCACTCCATTAATAGTATAGTTAGCATGGAGAGAATGGGGAATAAGAACCCTTGTTTTATCAACAGAGATTATGAGGCCACATTCTACTACTTTCTTGGAGAATGCATCAAGTAACATTTGTAGCCTTGGTTTACTGTGTGCCATAATACAAATATCATCAGCATAACATATAACTGTTTCCGTAGGTTGTACAGGTATGTCATGGATAAGTTTGTGCATAAGTATATTGAAGAGCATAGGGCTTAGGACACCACCTTGAGGTGTGCCTAGTTCGAATGCATCTGTTCTTGTACTTTTAACTCCTTTAAATAGGACACTAGCACGCCTGTTGGATAGGTAGCTCTTTATCCAACTCAGAAGATTACCTTTGATTCCAAATTCAGCAAGTTGCTCTAATATTATTTCGCCATTCGCTACATCGAAAGCTGACTTTAGGTCAATAAAGGCTGCCTGTGTCCCATCCTGGGAGTTTACAAAATATTCAGCAAAGCATGTTTGTGTGCTACACTTGGGCATGAACCCATATAGGTTTGGGGCCAGTTTTTCTTTGACCTGAAACATGACACGATTGAGAACAATTCTCTCCAAGACTTTACACATGCAAGATGTAAGGGAAATGGGTCTGAATTTTTGAGAGTTAGGTTTAGGAATTGGTATTATGAGACTTTGTGTCCAATTCTTTGGCAAGATACCTTGTGAGAGACTCATTTGATAGAGGTCAAGCAGAGGGTGGCTAGGGACATCATTCAGTAAGCTCAAGATGTTATAAGTTATACCATCCTCACCAGGGGCAGTTTGCCTAGGTTTTCCTAATGCTGATGTTAATTCAAAGGGGGTTATAGGAAACTGATCCGTTAAATCTGGTGAGGAGCGTGCTATTTCAATATTAAAGTTTCTGTTAATGTTGGTATGTCTTAAATGCTGCTGTATATCTGGGGGTAAGGAAGAAATTTGTGAGACACTAGACCATTGAGCTAGGAGCATGTCAGCATATTCTGCAGGAGTATGATGAAGCTGAACTGGGGCTGAAGGTTTGGTAATGTTTTTAATTTTGTTCCACATTTCTGATAATGTTGTAGTTCTATTGATACCTTGTAGGAATTGTTCCC